AACCGCTCTCTTGTCTTCTCTGTCAACATACGAATTCGTGGTTGAAACTGCAAAGAAAATTCGGTATAAAATGTACATACGATTTGGATACGAGAACACGTTTCTGATGTAAATATATTCTCGATGATCGATAACGATGTGATTCGCGGCGAGCGACAGAATGTATTCGTGAAGCTCAGAACCTGGAAAGATCGAGGAATTAGATTTTGTTACGAACGTTGATGTTTGTATGCACTTGAAAGCAAAACGGGGCACAGGAAAGTTAATACACGATATTTCCGTTAATGCTGTGTAACACTAATGATTTTACATATTGTGGATCTGTATTATATGCGGTTTATACGTTGAAATTTCAAATTGTGAACAATCATAGCTCTTTGTACGAGTGAACTTGTTATATTCTCGTGGCTGAATCGTTAGATTTCATATGTGTCGTGCAATTCGTGACGAGCGATCTTCGAAGCTTATAACCGTTTTCCAAAAAAGCAGACAAAAGTCGGACGTAATCAAACAATATAAATGAAACTATTGCAATGAACTTTTATCGACGCGCATACGTACCTGAGTATCTAAATAACGCGGTTATTCGAATATGATCGTGAAAATAGAAAATATTTCACCACCAGTCTTCTGTGGCTCGAAAACCTCCTGCCGTTCGCTGTTATCAGTTTTCGATCATCGCGTTGCGACTATCAACGGAAAATCGAAGTGACGTATGGATATTGTGAATACACAGTTTACAGACAATATTTATCTGCTATTATACACCATTTAATAGTTTGCAATAAAAGAAAACAGAAACAGAACAGTATGTAACTGCGTTTACCCGGACCGAAACATCGTGTCGAGAAAGAGAAATGACAAACGAAATCCTGTGTCAAGAATAATGACAACTGTTACACGATAATAATGATAATAATCATAATGGTAATAGGACCAACAGTCGAGACTGGGCGTCATCAGCAACGATCTGCGAACTAACGACGCTAATATCAGGTTCAACGAACGTCCATGTGGCCCGACGTGACGTCTCTAATAGGATCGAAAGACGTGTCCTAGTAATTGAAAATAAAGTGTCCGGATGTAGGAGAGAGTGACGGCGGTGATGGTGGCGGTGGGGGGTGGGCGTTGGCGAAAACGAAAAAGAAGTGAGTAAGGCAAAAGAAAACGGAGAATTCCATTTGATCGTCCATCGGGGATATCGGCTGGCGTTTCTGACTCCGGCAACACCTGCAATAATCGGGGCTTATCTGTCGAAATTTATTAGTCTCGCCATTGATATCTTTTCATTCGCTACCATTTTTCTCCCTGGTTTCTGCTTTTCGTTCCGTTCACCCGTCGCCGCGATAGAAACAAGGGAGAAAAACAGAGGCCAACACCGGGTTAAGTCAGTGGACGGCGGATATTCTGTTCCTGAAAAAAATTGAATTTGCTTGATTATTTTCTTTTTTTTTTTTTTGCTTCTTCTTTCGTTCTTTCTTTCTCATTCTTTGCGCTCGTTTTGTCGTGCGAGCCACCGGTAGGTCCATTTTCCCCGACTAGTTTCACCGTTGGTCGTTGAGACGTCTTCCATTGAAGGGGGAAGGGGGGAGGGTTGACGCGGAGTACGTGAGAGTATCGAGACGTGAGTTCGTGTGTGTTTTTTTTATCTTTTTGCGTGTACGTTGCGTGTGCGTGTAAATGTGCGTGCCACGTTATCGTGTGCTATTCATATGAATCGATAGTGGACAGACTCTTTACCGAGTTGATTCCACGTGCCTACATCGGCGGGATCCGTACTCTTTTATTTGTGTTTTCTTTCTTTTCTGTAGCCAGTAATAGAATGGGGGGTCGGGGTGGGGGGCAGGGTGTGGTAGAGATTTTTCGTGTTCGTAGATTTGACAAACATTCAGATATAGCGTGGCAATTCCGAAGAGTGCATCTTGTTGCATTAATTCGATTAGACCGAACGACGATACCGGCGCGGCGAGAGGTCGAGGTTAATCGATCTAATGGAACGTCACGACCGAGCCCGTGGCCGAGAATGAATCAATGCCCGCGCTTGGGATAGATCAAAGGGCACCGGCGCGTCATTAAAACAGTTTATTTGTGCAAATTCGGTTCTCTAGACACGACTGTTTGTGTGTGTGTGTGTTTTTTCAGGAAAATTTTCGATAGTGTATCCATGTGTGTTTCAATTTCTATTTGGTTCATTTATTCCAACGAATTAAATTTCCGAACTTTTCGTGTACATTAAACGCTGGGAATCTTCTGTCTGAATATGAACGCGTAACAAAATAAGCCACAAATTTATACTTTCCCGTGATATTCTGTTGTAGATGACCCGAATTAAGCCGATACGCAGCTGAGGGATTACTGTACAGTAAATCATCGATGAGTGTGCGAAAACTCCTCTGCACTGAGTGTTCAAACGTCATCACCACCATTAGACGGGTCCCCTGTGGAACCAATCAAGCGCCCAGTAGTGAGGATGACATCTGAATACTCAGTGCCGAGAAACCTTCGAACACTCGTCGACGATTTACTGTATTTTGGTCGTGTCGGTCTTGTGTTTGTTTCTCATTGATCAACATTTAACGGGATTATACTTAATATTAAATGTATCACGTGGAATATACAATGATTTGATATTAGGTATACAGAAATCCCTCGGCATGCGTATTTATTTTTTTTAGATTAATTGTGTGTTCAAGAATTGTTAGGAACAGTTTCGCGACGATCAAAACAAAAGATAAGCAAGAAATATAAGTACATTTCAACGATATTTGTTATCCAAGGGATTCTTGCAAACAGACCACTAGATTGTTACATATCAAGTGACAAATTTTTTAGTGACACATCGTATCCATATTAAGGCTTGGCAGAGATGCTTTCATGGAAATACGTTCAAGTTGTTTAACGAAATACAAGTATAATTATCGCAATATTATAAAAACTTAAGTTTTTTATAAACAATTTTTTGAATATGTAATCGAACGTTTGTATTTAACCCCTTAAGTGACCCGCGAAATTGAAGAAAATGGGAATTTAAACAAATGAAAAAATACATGTAGAATAGTGTACTATTAATTACAATATAATTAAAAATTTAATCGTGTATGGTATATTTGAAAACAAGGTAAACGTAATACGACATTATAATCATTGCAAAAAAATCGCGTTTCTTTCAGGATTTGTTTTCCACTGCGATTTTTTGTGGAACCGCATACGACACATTGCCGATATGGTTTCAACACTTCTATTCTCTTCCATAACTCGCTTCCTTTCTTTTACAACACTGTGAAAAAATCATACGTACGCGAATGATACTATGAAACAAGTATGATAAGAACCGGAAAAAAATTACAAAGTTATATGATACAGTTTCACGGGCTAGTCACTCAAGAGGTTGATCATGAATTGCTGTCCCCTGAATAAATGATTCTATTCTGAAATAATAACGTTTACCGGAAGTTTATAGAAAATGAAATGCAATCACTAACTTGACTTAACATACAAGTATAATTATAGCATTATTACGAAATCCTGAGTTTTGAGAACTAATTCTTTGAGTTTAAAATCGATCCTTTCTCTTGCACCATGAATTCCTTGTCTCCTGTATAAATGATTCTGTTCTTAAATAATTACGTTTACGGGAAGATTAAAAAACAAATGAAATGCAATTACTAGTTTGACTAAAAAGTCCACGGTTTAAGTGACTCTCGCGTAAAATAAACTAGTACCCTCTAAAACGTCAGACTTCGTGCCGTAGTTCCACAAAAGAACGTCCCTTATCGATCAATTGAACTATCACTTCGTACGGCAA